GAACAGCACAAACACGGCAAGAGAGCAATTCCCCATCTCCAGCCCTGCCTGTCGCTTCCCTCCTGCCTCTCGGGTGTCCATGGCCAAAGGGAGAGGCAGGAGCCAGGCCAGTCCCTGGCCCTCAGGTTTGCATGGGTGCGGCAGTGCGGCCCAGAGACTCGCGGGTCCCCTTGTCACTACACAAGAGCAACCCATGCACGATGCCTGCTCAGCCTCTGAGGCCTCCAGAGGAGCCCCGTCCACCTGGGGCACCATGCCTCATCTCCCCCACCTGCCCACGACACCCACCAGCCCCCCAGCCTCCCCTCCTCCCTCGAGCACCTTCGTGGTGTCTCTGCAGCTCTGCACCGTGGAACCCGGGCTTGGAGAACCACAGCGGGGCCCCTGCAGCTGCCCCAGGACTGCAGGTTGCTGAGCAGCAGCCCTGACTTCTACACCCCAGGTCCAGCAGCACCTATGCCCAGTCCCGAGAACCAGAATGTCCCCAGACGTGGCCAGACGCCCCATGAGGGTCAAGCCACTCCCAGAGGAGGACCCTCACTAGGAGAGAGGAGGATCCAGGGGAGCAGCCCAGGCTGGGCTGCAGAAAGTCCTGCTGGAGCCTGGGTGGACACACAGCCATGCCCATCGAGGGGACTGGCACAGAGGCACAGGAGGAAGCCTGAGTCCTGGCCCTGCCACCCTGCTCGCCACCCACAGCAGGCTCCCGGCCACAGTCGCAAGCGTGGACACAGATGCCAAGCAGAGGCTCCAAGACATAAAGGCTACAGGTGCCCCCCAGCTCAAGCCTCGGCCCTGCCCCTGGCTAAGTGTGCCAGCAGCCTGGTGTGGGCCTCAGTTTCCCATGCAGAAGCAGAGAGGGTGAGAACACTGTCCTTACAGTTCCAGCTGAGCAAGGAGGCCTGCAAAGGTCTGCATCCCTGGGCCGTGGCCTCCCGGGGGCAGCAGGCTCCTCTGCAAGGCCAGCGGACTCTGCAAGCATCGCAGGGCTCGTCCTGCTGTGACTGCCCCACTCCGTCCTTGCGGCCCCAGGGGCCAGGTCGGCCTGTGGGAAACCAAAGGAGGTGACGCAGGCCCAAGGATAAGCGCAGCAGAGCTGTCCCGAACCCCGGGACCCCTGCCCTCTGTTCTCCTGCGACCTCCTGCTGGCCCGGGCTGGTGTGAAGGTTGGGGAGCTCGATCCTGCAGATGGAGAACGGCAGTGCAGACAGCGGAGAGGCGCCCTGCAGAACCACCTCAGCCCTTCCGCGGGATTTGCTGCCAAGGGCGCTGTAGGCGCGCCAGGCCCGCAGCAAGGCTGAGGCACACAGGACTAAACACAGAGCCAGCACCGCTGCCGGGGGTTTGGGGGTTCTCCCCTGACACCCAGAAGAATACCATCAGGTCACCCTGACTCTTCCATGGACCCTTCCCATGGCCATCTCATCTGCCCAGGAGTGGGCACGGCCATGCAGAAACACCCAGGTGACAGAGGACTGACAGAGACTTGTAGCAAATACTGAGGTTCAGGGAGGGAAAGCCACAGCTGACCAGCAGGGGGTCAGGACGACCACACAGGCCTGCTGGGATGAGGATCCCGGCGTGGCGCCCCCTACCCCTCTCCACCACCTCCCGCCTCAGCCTGCCCGTAGCTCTGCGCCAGTCCTGCTGGGCCAGGCCAGTGGTGCAACACCCAGCAGGGCAGCCTTGCAGTTGAACTGCTCCGTCATGTTTGGCAGGCTGGGCCATCTGCTTCCTCCCCGCCGCCCTCCGCCCCAGCGGGACTCGCGGAAACATGCAACAGTCACTTTATTTCTGGGCTCAGGCCTCCTAACTGGCCGGGGTTGCTCAACACCTCCCCAGCCCGGCCGGAGGGGTAGAGGGAGGCTGGCAGGTGCCGTGGGAGGGGAGGACATCCGGGGCCGCTGTGCACACTGAGATTTTCTCCTCCGGGCCTGGCAGGAAGACGCCCATCCCCACCTTCTCTCTCTCGAGTTCTCTGGGGGATTTTTATTCTCAGGTTTCCTCTCTCTTCATAATTCAGAAAAACTTTCTTTATAATTCAGAAAAATGACCAGGATGAGGTAGCAGGTCCTTGACAGAAGGGTGTGGCCCTCAATGTCCCAAGTGCAGGTTGGCCCGAGGTCACCCTGTCTTCCTCAGGCACCCGCAGAGCTCATCCCAGGGCCCCTGCTCTCCACCCACCTGCCTCAGCCTCCTTCTCTCCCAGACCCCACCTCAGAGCATCCTTGCTCTACACCACTCAGGTGATTCTGGGCTGCAAAGGGAACGCACCCCAATAGCAGGTGCTGGGCCACAGTGGCCAGGCTGCTCCCGCTACCCAGGTGTCATCTCCAGGGCTCAGCCTGCACCTCCACTCTCCTACTACCCGCTCAGCAAACAAGCCGGGGCCACCGTGGGCCCCGCACTGGGCCGGCAGCCGGAGTCAGGGTGGGACTGAGGCAGGCCATGGTCCTGGACTAGAGCAGGCCTCGTGGAGCTGCTACCCGGCAGCTATCTCCTCAGCGTTGTGGTCATTTAACCACCTACATCATCGCTGTCTCGGATTTGTACAGCGACGGGATCACTTCAGCAGTGCGTGATGCCATTTAGAAACGAAGTTATGTTTAGAATAAGGAGAGCTGAGTGACCCTGCTCATTAATGTGAGGGATGGCATCACTGTTCAGTGCTATGAGCACTGTAGAATTACAGCTGCATGTGATATCATGACGACATGGTTCCTGGACAAACTTGCTGACACTGAACAATGCATGGCGCATAACTACATACGTGCACACATGTGTGTCTTCGGCATTTGCCATGTAGCAGGTGCTGTTCTGAGCCCACGTGATGGTCAAGCCACCCTCTCCTCCCCGGGTCTCTTTCACCGCCTTTATGGATGAGGGACAGCCAGGACCTGCAGCGAGGCCCTAGCGGGCGTGGGCCCTGGGTGGCCAGGCCACTGAAGCAGGTGCCCCCCACCCACTCTCCCAAGTCAGTGTCTTCTCCGGACTCCCTGCAGTGGGCCGGACTTCCTGACAGCCCAGGAGCCCTGCCTGACCCACAAGGAAACCCCAATGTGCCCCTCCCCAACCTCGGCTGGAGGAGGCCCTCGGGCTGGCCCTGCTGGGACCTCACCGCCCCCAGTCCTGCAGGGCCCCTATGGCAGCCACAGGGCCCCTATGGCAACCACAAGGTCACAGCTGGCGGTGCGCCTGCGCCTGGTCTCGGGCTCTGGTGAGCTGCGGGCCATCACCACCTTCAGCTCTCAATCACTGAGATGTCAACACCACCCCACAGCCTACAGGGAGACTGAGGTGCAGGAGCTTTCATACCCTACACAGGGGCCTCTTTTCCTCAGGAAGGAGACCCTGGAAGTTCTGACCCCACATAAACCGCACCCCACAGCCTGCTCACTGGCTGCTTGGGGATATGTCACCAAGAAAGTGGCAGAAGCGGCACACTGGGGGGCGTGGCGAGGAGGCCCATCCCCACCCCAGGGGGCAGTGAGGCAGGGAGAAAGGAAGAGGCAAACCTGCACCAGGGCTCTCGCCAGAACCTTCGTCCGCACACCCGCAGCCCTGGTGGGAAGGACGGACACCAGGACACAGCGGCACAAGGAGCCATGGGTTAGCACCGGGAAGGGCCCCTTCTGAAGCAGGGAGATCACCATCAAGCCTCTGAAATGGGCGGGGGGAATAAGGACAGAAAGGAGCCAGCGTGCCCAGGGAAAGGGCAGAAAATGTAATAAAAAACCAATTATCATTATCAGCCAGATAATATCATTATCTCCAGCTGAGGCAGGAGAGTCATGAGTTCCAGCCCATCCTGGCAACTCAGTTACTTACCAAGACCTAGTCGCCAAATAAATAAAAAGGGGGCTGGGGATGGAGCTGAGTCTGAATCCCAGTACCTCAATCAATCCATTACCAATGGAGGCAGGTGAGGTGGGGAGTGAAGGCCCAGGGCCCAGCAGGTCCTGCGGATGTTTGGCCTGGGGTTGGTATCTTCAGCCATGTGGACATTACGAGGGAAAACAAGTTTTGCATCTCAGACAGTTTTTGCCAAAGTCAATGAACAATAGCTGGGCCTGGGTCCAGAGCCTGAAATCCCAGCACTGTGGGAGGCTGAGGCAGGAGGATCACAAGATCAAGCTCAGCCTGGGCAAGTGAGTGACTTAGCAAGACCCTGTCTCAAAATAAAAAATCAAAACAGGGCTGAGAACGGAGCTCGGTGCTCCAATCCCAAGCACCACAAAAAATAAAGTTAGTGAAGTAAGCAGCCACCCAGAAAGGGAGCACTCAACCGTCCGTGTCCTAGGCATCTTTGCGTCCCACAGCTCGAGAGCAGCTGGTTTCTTGGAACCTCTCATGACACATGGCCCTGCATGCTCCAGCACTAACTGTCGGGGTCTTCTCTGAAGTCGGCTCCCATCTAAGGCCCTAACGATGTTCCCAGGGCCCCCAGTTCACACTGGGCAGACAGGAACTTTCTTAGAGACCCAGCTGCTGCCCACAGGAATTAACACAACTTCCTGCAAGAGCTGGCGTGTGGCCAGCTGCTGTCCCTGTCTCTGGGCCGCCACGCTGGACCAGACACAACCTCTCTGAAGGACAGGCTCGTGCCCACCCTGGTCCTGGGGGAAGGACAGGCCCACACTGGACCGCCCAACCATCCCGCCGCTCCCAGGGTGGGGGCGCCAGAGCCCCCCCTGCTTCCTCCACACCCCTCTTGGCCAGCATCGTCCACTCACAGAACGGGCTGAGTCTGGCACAGCACCGGCGCCTGCCTACCTCTCAGGGACTCTGTGCCACCAGCCAAGGTCCAGACCCTCACTGGTTATGGCTCCGGGCATGAGCAAAAAATAAGTCCTTGCAGTCACAGTCATGGAGCTCATGACTTCCTCGTAAAGATCCTAGATCTGGTGGAAACTACAAAATATTTGGGCAAAAAAAAGAACACACATCAGCTTTATAAAAGAGCATTTATTTTAATAAAGAATAAGGTCAATATACTTTTCCAACAATACAAAAATAAATATTCATCCTGCACATTAAAGACGAGCTTTCACATTGCAGCGGGGAGTGGAACCTCTGGTTAGCTCACAAACAGCTCAGTAAATGGTCTGGCATCCTCGGAAAGGCTCCCTCCGCGGCTCGGAGGCCCCGTCCCGGAGAACTCTGGCTCTGCAGATTTTGAGTCTCGACTTCACAGGCCCTGTCTCCCGATTCCCAGATTCCCCTACCTCCCATTGGAGACTCAGGTACATCGGGGTCACAAGGACAGGGGGTCCTGCTCCGGTCCCTGGAGGGTGGGCGGGGCGGGGCGTTCCCTCCCCTCAGCCCCTGGCCCCGTGCGGTGGCCCCACCCAGCCACTGGGCTCCGAGTCACCCAGGACTCACTAAGGCCTTCCGTGGGCAAAAACAGCATTTTTTTTTTTTTTTTTAGAAAACATGTTCAAGTATTTTTGATAATGCATGTGTTGAACTGGTGTGGAGATAAAGGAGCTCCGAAGCTGGAGGGTCAGAGGCGTGGTAGGGGTCATCAGGTCAGGCTACCGAGCCTGTGAGCAGCGCCCCCACCCACCGGCCCAGAGCAGAACGGTGGCAGCACCCCAGCTCCACCGCCCTCGGCTGGCACAGGTGTGGGCTAGGGAGCCCTGCAGAGGGGCGAGGAGGAGGCAGAAGCCCCTGCCACGGCCCCCAGGACGCCCCAGATGAGACAGATGCTAAGGAAGTCGCTGGCACAGGGCTGGGCCAGCCACAGAGGGTGGAGTCCCCCGAACACAGGTAAAACACTCCTGGGACTCACTGGCACTTTCCAAACTTACAGTTTGCATCCTGCTCACTTTAAAGGAAAAAAAAAAAAAAGACTCAAAGCAGTTTACAGCAGAACATATAACAGGTAAGGCGATTACAAGTACAAATATTTTTTAAAACAAATCAAAACCATCTAAAAAGAGAAGAGAGAGGAATCTAGAATGATTTCATTACAAAACTAAAAAGTTTTGCTCTCAGCTTCCAGGTAATAGAACCCCAAAGGAAAAGCGTGCATTGTCTGAAACTTAACACCCGAGGCACCTACACAGACGGGCGCTTTCCTGACACCAAACTCCAGGAAGAAATGATTCTCCCAGCAAGTCCAGGGTTCGGAGGCTTATCCCTAAATACGGAGAAATCTTATCGGAGAGTTGAGAAGTACCTAGGTCCTCTGCTCCACACGGGGTCGAACGTGTGAGACCGTGGCCTGTACCCACAGTAAGACGGCAGACGGCGCAAGCTGACGCTGACCGCTTCACTCCAGACCCGAGGAGTTGTCACAGGAGCAACAAGTCTCTGGAAATGTCATTGAGCCCCAAATGCAAAATGAATCATAGCAACTAAGAATAATTAAAGAAAAATGCAGGAAAGAATTTTTAATCGCAGGTTAGAATGACAGGGCCAGGCCACCGCTCGCAAGTCCCCAACTCCTGAGCAAACAGAAGTCTGGCCCGCCGCGCCCTGCACTCACTCCTCATGCCTGCCACTGTCACAGGACCTGAGGGCCATGGGCAGGCTGGGGTGCCGGGGACAGGCGCCACCGCTCAGACTGTGATCTGCTGGTTCTCTCTGAAAAATGGTCTCTGGTGAGAGGCACAAATCTCGGGAAACATCCGGAAGGCCTGGTCCGGCGTGGGCTCGTCGGGGGTGGGCAGCACAGCGCCCAGGCCGCAGCTCTTCCCTGAGTCCTCCACCAGCTGCCGGACATACAGCTGCTCAACCTGCAGGCCAGCAAAGCATCAGGCTGAGGCCCAGCGCGAATGGTCCAGCCCAGAATCCCACCGCTACAGCCCGTTCCTTCACCTGTCCCTAGACAAGGCCTTAGCCTGTCCTGACCCCAGCTGACCAAAGTGGGAAATCCTGGACAAGAGGCTTTGATTTCAAAAGCAACCGAGTAAACGACACCCACCACCAAGAGGATGACAGCCCAGTCCAGCCTACATCTGCAGGTCCGCCCACCCCTAGGTGGGATCCCCCAGTTCCTCAGAAGTACAAACCACCCTGGCACTGGCAGGAGGTTGGGATGCGGCCCAGGCCGCCCGCTCTCTCTCACCTGCACCAGGATGAGCTTGGAGCGCAAGGGTGCCATGTCCGGAAACTCCTCCCCGAAGCACAGCACCACCCTGCTATCCGGCAGGCGGGCCTGGCTGCCATAGAACTGCTGCAGCTCTGGGGGACACAGAAGGTCGGAGGGTGGGGACGGTGTGCTGGGGACAGCGGGGGGACGGAGCTGGCAGTGGGAGGAGGCTGGCCAAGTGAGCGCACCTAGCCAGCACCACACCCCTAAATGCACCCTCAAACCGGGGCCCTGGGGCTAAGGTCCAGCTGGGGACTTGTGGGCTTGGCCATTCCCTGGGTGGTCCTGGATCTGGGTGCTTTCCATGGTCCGGGTCCCCAGTCTGCCTCTCAGGACACTGTTCCCTCCCACCCCTCCCTGGCCCCCGCAGATGCCTGTGTTTGCAATCCCCCCCGCCACGCCTTCCCCTGGGAGCTGGTGAGGAACGGGACCCAGAGCCCTGCAACCCTCCCAGGGTGCAGCCCTGCACACTGGATGCTGACCCCAGCCTCCCTGCATGCTGTGGACCCCAGGATCACACCGGGCTCACACTGGGCTCTCACCCCATGCCCTGCAGGGCAGCAGCACCTAACACCCAACGCCAGTCCGGGCTGGGCTGGTCCAGGGAAGGAAGAGAGAGAGCGGAGGCATAGGGCCAGACACCTGGCCTTCGAGGGGACCAACGCAGGGTCCCAGACCCCGACCTTCCCGAGAGGGGTGGGGGCGCAGCACCAAGAGTGTCTGGTGTCACATCTCCAATGTGCTCCGGATGTCCTGGGCTCCTCCGGCCTGCCCGAGCTCTCCCCTTCCCCCTTGGGAAACTGAGGCACAGAGACCCTCCCCATGCCCGGATTAAGGTGCGGGTGGCCCTCAGGGGAGCCGGGCGACTCCAGGGCAGCGGTACTGACCTCGGAAGAACTGGCTGGTGTCGAAGACCTGGACTATCTCATCGCGCTCCAGCTTGTTGGGCCGGCCCTTGCACACCACAGCGTTGCCACTGCAGAACACGCGACCCTGGCACAGCCGCTTGACAAACACGCCCTGGCGGCTGCTGTGCAGGAGCACACCGCGCTCCAGGTGACCAAACAGCTTCCGCGTCACCTGCCTCTGGCGCTCGCTGGGGATGGTGTCGGCCGGCGGGAAGCGGACCAGCTCCAGGCCCTCGGGCCCGTACACCTTGGTGCTGGGCAGCCCCAGCGGGCCCAGGGCCAGGCGGCAGCCCTCAGGACAGGTGGTGGTAGCCTGGCCAACCAGCTTGCCCCCGTAGTAGAAGCTGATCACCATCTGGGAGAAGGCTGCGGGAGACAGGGCGGGCAGGGCGGTGGGTGAGGGTGCTCTGTGCCCAGCGGCCCAGAGCCACCGGTCTGCTTCCTCCCACAGTGACACGCACCAGGGAAGTCACAGCTACCTGAGAATTGGCCTCTCGGAAGCAGAGCAAGTCCACAGGAAGACAAGGGAAACCAAGGTGCGCACCCCACACCCTGTGAGCTCATTCTTTACGTCCAAGGCCGGGAGGTGACAAGCGCCACCCGCTTATCACACCACCATTCTTCCAGAAGGGAGGAGAGGGCACGTGTGAGTGGGGGAATGAGGGTGTCACCTTCTCACTGCGGTCTGCCTCTGGGGACCCCTGGGTTCAGAAACTCCCCAAGCCATGGCATAGAGCAGGCACTGCCAGAGGACTACCACAGGGCAGAGACGGTCCTGAGCACCTCCCGCCCGACAGCTCCGTTAGGACAGCGGCAGTAAGCGGAACGCCGGGCTCTGGCCAGAACTGAGTAAGGCTGTGCCCCGCTGTCCCGGCATCTCAGCCCAGCGCCCAGCGGGGCATGAGTCTTTCTTTTACGGCAGTGAGCAGCTTCCCACTAGGCCACTTTGAACATGTGAAGAGACTGAGAAAAATAGGACACTCATGAGAGATCAGAGTCCCTGACGAAACCGCTGTGAAGGCGGGGCTCATGAGAAGTTTGGGGACACCGAACGGAGACAGGAATGGAAATAGCACGTGGGACACTGCAGCAATCTGCATGTCAGCAGCCTCAAACTAAGAATGCGTCCACCCACAGCACGCTGAAAGGAATCTGGTACTCCTTGGGGGCCACAGAGCGGCGCAGGGTGCTGGAGCCACTCAAGTGGTGAAGTGCTCCACTCCCAGGAGCCCCTAGAGTTGCTCAGTGTGCCGCTTGCACCACTATCAGGGACAGCCCCGTAGGTGCCACCTACATCATCTGGCTGACGCTCCTGGGCATGTGGACCCTCCCACTGGACTCTGCGCAGGTCAGGCAGTACAGGCTCCCCACCTTCTCATCGGAGTCACTGGGGCCTCTATAGAGCAGGGAGTCAGCGCTGAATCACGCAACCTGACCATAGGCCATTCAGGGAAACTGAGACCCAGGCAGGGCCCCAGCAGGAGGGTAGTGGTACTGCTTTCACCAGTCCCCACTTCCCACAGTGCCCCAAAGCGTGCCCCGTCTGTGTGCCACGGCCACCTGGTACACCCTCCCCTGGACGAGTTCTGAACTTTGCTCCCAGTAAAAGAGACACTGGCGGCAGTCATGCAGCGGCCTTGGGCCTGCTGTTCCTGGGCCTTATCAGGGCTGCACCTGCCAGTCGTGTGTGCACAGGCAGCACCCTGGGGAACAGCACCCAGTCTCAGGGCCCAGGTGAGGGTGAGCGGCCCACTGCACACCTGACACCAGGGCCCAACGCGGAATCCCAGCACTGCAGCTGCTCCTATCTGTGCCATCCCCGCCGGCGAAGCAGGGCTGGCAACAGCGCTGCCACCTGAGGCTGCCCAGCGCCCGGGAGCATCCCGCAAGTGCTCACTTCCTACTCTGGGGGCCAGGACAAGGGGTCTCCGGAGGCAAGGCTCCTGGGCCACAGTGCGGCGCGATGAAGTCTGTGCCCAAGGATGGCCGTGACCCCCGGGAGGCAGACCCTCGCATCAGGGCCGTTTTCCAGGTAAGGAGAGTAAGGCCGGTGGGGCGGCGGGGAGGGTCTGCTCAGAGGCACAGCTGCAAAGTGGGCCTGGCCTTATGCCCCACAGGCTGGCTGAGGGCACCTATGCCACAGCTCACACACCAGCTGGGCAGAGCTGTGGCATCTGCCTCACGGTGCGGCCGTGGGAGGTGTCGGTCTCTGGGGCAGGCAGCAGCACAGCCACTTCCCCTGCCGCGTACCAAGCCAGCTCTAGAAGCGCCACGGGGACTTCCGCCAAACTGTCCTCGCCTCTCACCCGAAGATGCCCACAGCACTGCACAGGCTGCAACTTGGGCCTGGACCCACAGAGCCGCCCAGTGAAACCAGGCATGTTCCCGCTGGGTGAGTACCCCCTCTGCCCCGGAGGTCCAGGGCACATGCTTCTCCCAGCCCTTGTCCCCCTCTGCCCAGGTCCCCCACTCCATGTTCAGTGGCCAACCTGAGGAGCTAGCGTCTGCACCCCAGAACCTGCATGCTGGGGAGACACCGGCTTCCCCCGCTCCGTGTCACTATCTGCTGCCCCAACCTCAATCCCAGCGCCCCGGCAGAGCATCACATGGCAAGAGGCCACCTCTGTCCACGGGGACAGGCATGGACAGGCGGTGTGGGACAGAGCCTCACTGCAGGGCCACAGTGAGGAGGACGATCCAGGCCCTCAACCTCAGCCCACAGGGCCCTGCCTTTGTCTTAGAACCATGCCCACACCCACCCGGAGCGCTCCATACCTGCGTGGTGCGGGTCATAGGTGGGGTACCCGGTCACCAGTGGCAAGCCTGCAGGGGACAGAGAGCAAATTCAGCCGCACTGCGTGCCAGCAGCTGACCAGAGGCCCCAGACCGTCCAGGCAGCCCCAAGGCAGGGCCACAGCTTCTGCTGACCTTACACTTTCCCTGTAGACCCAGGTTTCCTCAATGCAGAAGCCAGACTGTGGCCAAACCAGGGTAGGGGACTTCCTCTGCACTGTGGGACTTCCGGCCCTGTGCCAGTGACCCTGGGGCCACATGCCCTTCCCCGGGGACAGGAACATAGCTGGATCCCATGCCACCACCTAGAGCACCTGCAGTCCTAGCTTGCATTCTCCAAGGGGTCCCGCAGTGCAGAGGGAGGACACAAGGCATTGCCACCTACACCTGGTCCCGAGGCCTGCTGGGCCAGCTGTCCCCTCCTGGTCATGGTGGACACTCAAAGGTACCCAGGCGCTGCAGAAGCTGGAGGCTGGGAGGGCATCCCAAGCAGCTGAGGGCTGAGCGTGCCCAGCACAGCAAGCTCCAGGGAGCGTGCCCCACCCACACTGCCTGTGACCCACAGGGCAGGCCCCAAAGCCCCCATCTTCCAGCTGAGCAAACAGCTCAGGAAGGTCCGCAACTCCAAGTGTGGCTCTGAGCCTCTTGGCATGCTGGCCTGGGCCCTCCTCCCTGAGATGCCCCTGCTCTTGCTGGCTCTGAGGGGTCCCCAATATCCAAACATAACGGGGTGCCCAGGAGGGGTGCAAGTGGCCCAGCCCTGGGACGGTCACCTGAGCCCTGCTTTGGCTCTGCAGAAGCACAGAAGGGACAGGTGCACCTTGGTGGGGAGCCAGGACCTGCGCTCACCCCTCTGCGCTCGGTACCATGACAGGACAACCAGGACCACAGCACAGACCACCCACGCCATCCCCAAAAGGCTCACCTGTGCTGGGCTGCGGCACCCACCAGTCTGGGAGGAGCTGGTTCCTGCAGGCCTCTGGTGGGGACGGGCTCCTCTTGATCATCCCCATGTAGTCATCCACAGGGGGCTGCAACAGCAAAAGAAGGCCACTCAGCCCCCAAACCACCAGCCAGGCCCCAGTGCACAAAACCGAGTGACAGCTGCACAGAGGAAGCCACACCACCACCTCTATCCCAGGAGACCGATAAGCTTCACCTGCAACTTGAAAGGTCTTGACTATAAGACTCCCAGGCCAGCACTCAAGCGTGCTGAATGACCAGCATCTTGCAGGCCGGAGGAAAGGTCACTGGTCTTTTACACGGCGCACCTGCTGCAAGCCAAATGCTGCAGGTCATACAGCTTCCCAGAGGCCCAGGGAATTTGGAGAGGCTGAGACCCATGGATGGTAATGGCTGAGTTGGCAGAAAAGCCTTCTACGCAACGCAGGGCACTACAGGGGGCTCAGAGCCGAGAATCTGCTTGGCCCCTGGCCAAAGACTACCCAGAAACCCAGCAGCTGCACCTGCAGAGGAGCTGGGCAGCACACAGCACTGGAAGAGGTCTACACATTTCCTGAGTGTCCACATTGCCTTTTGTGAGGGCTGCAGGGCGTCACTGTAGTGGTGAAGCCCACCTTGGAAAAACCACAGAAAACACAGGAAAGGGGCAAGAGCCAGCATCCGAACAGCTAAAACAGCTTCATGAAAAGCCTCTGTGTTTCACCTACAGAGGCCTGAGGGGCCCTCGCTGATGACCTATTACCACCCTACATACACCACTGGCAGACTTGGTTAACTAGTTTTCCCACCCATCAAGGAATAAAATCTACGCAATAACAACACAGGCAAACTGACAGCCAGAAGTGCTAGCACAAGAATCCGAGTCACATGACAGCCCAGCAGCGGTGCAGGCCGACATCCCGTCGGGGGCAGCCCACCTAAGGAGGGTGGGAGCGCACTTAGAAGGCTGCCACCCAGAGCTGACGCGGGGTACAGCGTGGCACTTGAGAGAAGCTCAGTGATGCAGAGCAGCAGCTCGGGAGGAAGGAGCAGATGTGCCTGGCAGGTGGCGGCCAGCTGGGTGGGCAGCCAGGGCTCCCTGCCCTCTGCATCTGCGGGTGTGTGCCGCTCACCAGACAGCCGGCCCCACTCACCTCCTTGATCATGTCCTCCATCTCGGAGCGGCCACACTCCATCTCTGCGACATCACTCACACAGCCAGGAGCCACGAGGCCCAGTTTGCCTAGGGAAACCAGAAACCCCATCACGCTGGGCACCAGCAACGTGTAGGAGTCAGCGGGCATCCTCGCTGGCTATGCCAGCAGCACTGAGGCCTAGGAAAGGCACAGGCCTTCTGCTCACAGGCTCTGGTCACCTGACCCTCAGAGTCAAAAGACAGAAGAGGCGACAGCACTCCGGCCTCTTCCTTCGCTTTGCTGAAACGCAAAGGGAACCCTGTCAGATGTACATTACACCAGGTGTCAACTACGTACCCTACAGGAGTTAAAGTTACAAGCAGGGGCATTTGAAAACACCCAAAGATCTCTTGGCAAATGTGTTGGCAGGTTCAGTCCCTGTTTTTTTAAAGCTAGCTGACAGTAAATCTCTTTTTGGCCCTTCTAAATATATGCATGATTCTATCTATGCACACACCCCTTGCGCCGATGGCCCACTGGACAAGCCTGGGTCAGCACCTGCCCAGGGGCACCCAGGGTCTCCAGGGCGAGCACCTCCAACCAGCGCTGCTTTCTCTGGTCAGAAATTCAGCTGTCAGGTTTAGTGGTGCCACACACATCGTGACCAACAACCGCTTGCCAGCCTTCCCCAGCCTGGCATCCGCGGATTCTGCCCACCCCTCCATCCTGACTGGATTCTGACTCCATCTTAGATTCATGGATTCACTTAGAAGCTGCTGCTGAAGGAAGAGGCCAGCAAGGGCGCCCCCAAAGTAACCCGAAAGCCACCCAAGCACAGGTAGCACGGTCCCATTTATACATTATGCAAATCACCGTGTGCTCGGCCCTGAGAACCTGTCGTTTCTCCTTCTACATCCACCCCTGCAGGTGACAGGGTCCCACCCCAGGGTGTCACGACTTAGCATCACCTGCCAGGTCGCGCTTTACCGGCCCTGGAGGATGTCGAGGGAAATGTCCCTGAAGCTTCCAGTCACACGTGACTCCACAGTGACAGAACATTACCCAAAACTGGGGGGAGGCAGGACAATGCCTGCCTGGCCTTTCTGGACCCCTGGGCATATTAACCGGACCCTACAGACCATGTGACTCTCCAAGGGGCCACCGAGTCACCCTCGGGGAAGTCAGGTGCTCGTCTTCAGGTGGGGAAGCTACAGGTGACCAGGAGAAAGGAGAGCAGCCCTAAGCACGATCACATCATCCAGATCAGACATTCATCTTCCTGTCCGTCCCTGACCTAAAGCACCACCGCCTCAGAGCCTCCAGGATCTCTGTCACCATGCCGCGTCTCACTGATGAGTTTAGTGACTGCCACAGGCTCACTGTGTATCTGCTTGGGTCGTGGTGTTAGCATTTTTAAAGTTAGGCATCAACGTTTTCAACAGCTGAGAGATCGATGTGCTAACAGGATGTTTCAAACCAGCAGTGGCGATTGGATCTCATCTCCCCAGTCAGCTCTGATCTGCAGCGCCTACACAGCCATACTGTGAGAAGGATTCTCAGACCAAAGCCAAGCTGGACACATCTGGATTGATTGGTGATGTCTGGCCGGAACACAGGAATGAGAAGTAGGGGCCCTGTGGCTTTTTTTTTAATTTTTGCTTCCCTGAATGCTTTCAGGGTAACAGAGCTGGAAGTGGCCTCAGGAATGATCACATGCCAAAGTTCCCAATAAGCTCCCAGGATGTGACGACACACCAAGGCCTGTCCCATCTGCAGCAGTGACACCCAGGGGCCGTCTTTGGCAGCTCTTCTCTCGGCCCTGTGACCCAGCCCTTCCTGTCTACCACATCGTCCCCTCACTCTTACGCAAATGCCCGAGACCCACCGGGATTCCTCACCAGAAGCTGCTGCAGGGTCTGTGCTCCCGTCCAAGGGAGCTTGTCCTGAGCTTGTCCCCTGCATGTCCCTGGCCTGGGCCACAGCCCAACCCCCTCCGGCCTCCCCATCCTTGAGCGGCCCCCACAGCTGAAGCTCCCACTTGACAGCAGATGTTGTGTGAGCTCAGTGGAGAGACCTCAGTGCTGCTTACGTAAAGGAGAAAAGCATTTGTTTAACCGAAGCCATGCGCCCAGACCCTGTGGCGGCGACGTCCACCCCAGACCAAGCCCTTCGCAAGGCTGAAGACCTGGCAGCTTCTGGAAGTTCTGAGTGCCCACAACCGATAGTTACATTTTTGCTCTTCCTCCGGGACGATTCTGTAAACTTTGTATGGCTCGGAAATGTCCAGCTGGGATCTGTCTGTGACTTCCTCAAAATCTGGGCTCTTGTTCAAAGCGCAGCGTAACCTCGTCTTCCAAGTGGCTGGTTCAGCTTTGTCCCCTTCTTTAAACTTCCCTTTAAAAACTGCCCAGGCCTGCAGGAGGAAAGGGGAGCGCATTAAACACAAGAGGGCCCCCGGCCACAGAGCTCCCCGAGGGAACCAGCGCCCCTCCTGCCCAAGTCGCAGGCTGCTCTCTCTCTGGATGTGAGGAGACCCAGGCCGGACAGAGGCATCCACAGTCACAGAGGGTCCTCCCGCACCACCCCTGCTCTGAGCCTTTCGAAGTCCCTGCCTGGGCGAAAGGGCCTGGAGCGGCTGAGGTTAAGCTGCTCAAAGAGGAAGTTGCACATGATTTCACTAGAATGTTCAAAACAGACTTGTTGCTTTTTCAAATCAACTCCTAGCGAAAACATAGCATGAAAAGGGAACATTTGCAAAAACACTAAATGTGGCCATCGACTGCGCTGCTCCTTTTAATAGAAGTTTTGTTTTGCATTTTTGCAAGATGCTGGCCTTTCACCCCACAACCCAAAGCTCTACTTTAAATGCAAGGAAGTGTTTTCTCTCTGTCAGTTATGTTTTTCTTTTTTTATCAGCTCTGTTTTCTGACCTCTCCAAACCTCAGGATCTGAACTTGGACCAGAAATTCAACCCAGGAAACTTAGAAGTTCAACATGTTTAAAATACATGGGGGGCTGGGGCACTGCACCTGCCTCACAAGTCCAAGGTCCTGAGTTCAATCCCCGGTACCAAAAAAAAAAAAAAAAAAAAAAAA